AAACATCTAACACACATCATCATTAATCCACAAGACATGCCAAAATTTCCTACTCAGGGCATCACCTACATGAAACCTAAAAACAACAAAACCACAGACCCCACACAATACAGACCAATTACATGTCTTCCAACACTCAACAAATTATTGACATCCTGTATCACAAACAAAATATACAAACATGTTGAAGAACATGACATTCTTACAGAACAACAAAAAGGTTGCCATAGAAATCACGGGATGCAAAGAACAGTTACTCATAGATTCAGTCATTCTACGACAAGCACACAAACAACACAGAAACATACACATGGCATATATAGATTACAGAAAACCATTCGACAGTGTTCCACACAGTTGGCTGCTAAATATTCTATACATGTACAAAATACATCCGTCACTCATTGCTTTCTTCCAAAACACTATGCAGCACTGGAGAACAACACTACATCTCAGGGTTAGTAACACTTCCATACAAACAAACGAAATATTCATTAGGCGAGGAATTTTTCAAGGAGATTCCTTGAGTCCTCTCTGGTTCTGCCTAGCCCTGAATCCATTATCCAACATGTTAAACAACACGCATTATGGCTACAATATCAGACATGAAAAAACAACACAGTTTACACTCTCACATCTCATGTACATGGACGACATAAAACTTTATGCATCCACACAAAAACAACTTCATCAACTCCTACAAATCACACATTCATACACTAAGGACATACAAATGGAGTTTGGCTTAGACAAATGCAAAACACTTCACATAGAAAAAGGAATCCTGAAGAAAGAAGATTTTGCACTTGGAAATGGAGACGTTATTGAATCCATGGAAGAGGGCGAGTTCTACAAGTACTTAGGATTCCAACAGGCCAAACTAACAGAACATACACAAATAAAGCAACGATTAATTAAAGAATACCAAAGTAGGTTAAACGCTATACTTAGAACACAGTTAAATGCAAAACACACAGTTAAAGCAATAAACACATATGTCATCCCAGTACTCACATACTCTTTTGGAGTTATACATTGGACTCACACAGATCTCGAGCAACTCCAAAGGAAAACAAGAACAACACTTACTAAGCATAAACAACATCATCCTAAATCCGCCACAGAAAGATTAACCCTTCCACGTAAAGAAGGCGGACGTGGCCTGATTGACATAGTTAACCTTCACTACAAACAAATACAGTCACTGCGAGAGTTTTTCTACAAGAAACAAGAAACATCACAGTTACATAAAGCAGTAACTCTAGCAGACTCAAATAACACACCATTAAACTTACACTCACAACATACAGACATGACACAACATATAAAAAGCATAGACAACATTAAGCAATCATGGGCTCAAAAGGCTCTCCATGGCAGGCATCCTTACGACCTGGCCCAGGATTTTGTTGACAAAACTGCGTCAAACAGCTGGTTAGATCGGGGATGCCTCTTTGGGGAGACGGAAGGATTCATGATTGCCATACAGGATCAGGTCATAAATACTAAAAACTACAGAAAACACATACTCAAAGATACAACACTCACAAATGACACATGCAGAAAATGTCACATCATGCCAGAAACTATACAACACATCACTTCTGGTTGCAAGCTCTTGGCACAGACAGATTACTTACATAGACACAATCAAGTAGCAAATATAATACACCAAGAGCTTGCAAAGAAACACAAATTGGCAGACATCCACGAACCATACTACAAGTATATTCCACAGACAGTATTGGAAAATAACACGCACAAAATGTATTACGACAGAGCCATAATCACAGATAAAACAATTTACCACAACAGACCAGACATCACACTCATTGACAAACACAATAAAATCACATACATTATAGATATAGCCATTTCAGACACTCACAATGTACAAAACACATGCACTGAAAAAATTAGCAAGTACACAGAACTCGCCCAGGAAATAAGGCATTTGTGGAGGATGGATAGGGTGCTTATTGTACCAGTCGTTCTCTCCTGTACAGGTGTGATGCCACACACACTACACAAAAGCCTGGGAACATTACAATTGAGTAGAAATACATACATCACACTACAGAAGGCCACTATATTGAATACATGTCACATTGTTAGGAAATTCCTGAATACAGACACACACACTGACATACTTATTTAATTTTAGTTTTGTTTTGGTTGCTGTGCCTTGACTTTGGTCCGGCATAGTACACAGCCACTGGTGTGAACCGAGTATAATTCACAAAATCCAACATAAATAATAATAATAATAATCAGATTTTTTAATCATTATAATAATAATTATTTTTTGATTTTAAAATTTAGTTGAATATTGATTAGATGAGGTTTTCATTAAATCATATATTTTCACTAACTGGATAGATATATCACAAAAAAATCATGCTTTTAAAATATCCAGCAATGAATTTAATAAAATAACATTTTTGATCAGTTTTACTGACCTCCTTCAGTTACAATAGAACAGAAAAATAACATAAATAACTAAAGAAATAAAAAATAAATGAATAAATATTTCTTAATAAAATTAAATTACATAAACAGAATGCCATGCAGTAGACAAGTTGTTTGCATTTCTATGGTTGATGCACCTGGATTTTTTGTGGGCTTTATAAATTTCCAACTTTTCTAGATATCTCACAGTGTGTATATTTGATGTGGGTCTGCTCCCATTGTACTTGTACGAGGGCAGGCTGAAAAGTAATGAACACATGCTTGTAGAAGACGAACAAAAACAAATAGCAAGATCAGGCAAAAAGTGCATTAAAGTACAATTCTTAAGCTTTAAAATCATATATTTATTTTTCAACATAGTCACCGTTAAATTAATTAAGGCTAACAAATTTCTCCCAACATGTAACAAGTTTTTTCATTCCATCACTGAAAAATTTTTCTGACATTTCTCGAATCCAGGACTTTACAGCTGCCTTCACCTCATCGTCTGAGGTGTAATGATTACCCTTGAGGTCTCTCTTAAGTAGAGGAAACAAATAAAAATCACAAGGTGCAAGATTAGGGGAATAAGGAGGGTGTGGAATCAGTTCAAACTTCAGGATTCACAGAGTTTCTCCAGTTGTGTGCAAGGTGTGTGGATGAGCGTTGTCATGTTGCAAGATTATTGCTGCCAGGCTGCCTCTAACATGTCAAACTCAACGTCAGAGGTTGTTTTAGAGTCTGTATGTACTGAGAAGAATTAAACATTGCAACAAGGTGCAACGGTAATTGTCTGTGGCAGTGATCGGACTTCCGCTGCGTGTTTCATCAACAATTATGGCTTTTCCAGGCTCGCAATTTTATTATCCATCAATTTACAATAGACCTATCAACAGCATCGTCAACATAAACAGCCTTTAAACGTAATTTTTTCAGCAGTTAAAAATTCGATAACAGCACGCTGTTTAACTCGCATTGACATAGCACCAGAACATGTCTCCATATTTCCGCTTCTCAAAATATACTGAATGAACACAACAACCTCAAACTGCGCATGCACATAGAGGGGGAATGTTACTTCCATATGCCACCTGACACCCTTCTGAAAATCATTTCGTTTGTGCTCTACAAGCATGTGTGCATTACTTTTCAGCCTGCCCTCATATATCTTGATGTTGTGAGTAAGCTGCCAGCTTCATATTATTGAGATATTTATCAATTGTGTACTTATGCTTCTTGAGTTGTTGTAAATTATGCATAGTGGCACCCATGTAGACCAGTTTTGATATGAAACGTTGGTTGATTATTGGGATGGAATAAATCTTTGCGGTCAAATTACAGTTATGGTTTCTTATCATTCCTTAAAATTCTGAAGATCGTTGAGTTGCATCGATATACCACCACGACATTATTAGCTCTGGCTGCTTTCCTATGTATCTTTCTTAAAGATGGGATATAATTTAAAACCACTCTGTTTCTGGTCCACCAGTGCATGTTGACATTTTGATGTTTAGAAGGTTGTGATCAATTTCTGTATTCTTTTTTACTATATAACTGGATTGCTGTATATACAAACTGTATATACCAAAATTGTGCATGGGACACCAATACAACTATAACACCAACACATGTTATACATCAGTACATCGTAGAGGAATCGTAGATCTTTTTAACTTCATAGTGTTTGGCATACTTTCTTCTCGTAAAAAACATCTGAGGTAGTTCATGTCATGTCCTAACATTTCAGTCTTTTTGTAAGTTCAGCTAACTTTATATCCATTTTTATTTTTTGAAAGTATGCCAAACACTATGAAGTTAAGAAGATCTGCAATTTCTCTATGATGTATTGATGTATAACATGTGTTGGTGTTATAGTTGTGTTGGTGTCCCATGCACAATTTTTTTTATCTTTAAGAGTAAGTGTGTAAGAAAAAATTTTTTCTGTTGGTATATTTGTTGTCATGAACTGACTATTTTTGTTTTTATTATTTTTAAAAATTAGCACTGAGGAGGGGTTGGGATGTACTGCGCCAACCTGAAATGCATTTGTCAATTTTGAGAATAAAATTGTAGTTCCTAACTGAAAATTTGCTGTGAGTCCGTCTACTATTTGTTGGATTACAGAGATGTGTTACATAGAGATGTATTCTTTTTATCGGATAACCTTGTTGCTCTGTGATTTTTTAAGATGTACTCTAGTTCCATTACGGTGTCCTGGATGCTGGTACAATGGGTATATGCCTTTCCTATCAAGGATCTAAAGGCTGCAAATTTGATATGCCAGGGATCAACAGAGTTGTATGGAATTAAAATAGATTGAAAAAAATGGTTTCCTGTATACCTTGGTCCAAATTTCACCATACTTGCAAGAGATGGAAATGTCCAAAAAGTTTACCGTTGCTTTACTTTCCTGGTCTAATTGTAGGAATAATTTGTAGGGGTTATCAGTTTTTGCTTTTAAAAACTGCTGCAGGTCTGGTTTTTTTCTGTCACAGGATGAAGATATCATCAACGTAGTGTATAAGATGATGAGGTGTTGGAATTTAGGCAGAATGTTGTTTTCTAGTTGTTGCACTACCAGTTCACAAAGTATTGCTGAAGTGGGACTGCCCATAGGCACGTCTCTTTCTTGTAAGTATATGTTGTTCTCAAATTCAAAGAATGATGTATAACATACATGATGTACAAGTTCCAGTATATGATTTTATGTTTACGTCAATCTTCGATATTGGCAAACAAGAAATCTTTATTGCACAAAAACAAGGAGGTATTTTTATAAATGGATACATTGATTTGAAGTCTAAGACTGTCATATATTCATTATCTACTAGCGAAATGGTACTGAAGTGTTCTATAACCTGCAGCAAGTTGTAAAATGAAACAGATGGTAAGTAGATTTAGCATGGTAGAATTTGACCAGCTGCTTCTCAATCAAAAATGTTGAAGAGTTACATTTCTTGATCACTGGGCGTAGTCAGTTTCCCAGCCAGTGAGTTTTGGCAAAAGCAAAAATTCTCAGTGTTTTTGGTGCATGGACTATGGAGCCGTATATATGTATCAATAAAAGTCCTGCCAAAGGAGTGGAGGTGAATCTTCTAACCCTTTGTTGTGATGATTCTAAAAAGTTGATGGATACTAGCTGGCATTCTGTGGTTGTAATATATTTTCTTAATTTCTCATTGTATGTTGATCATTTGAGTAACACTATCCCCTTTGACTTATTTACTTTTATCAGAATCACATTATTTTGTTCCAATCACTGGCATGATCTGAGTATAATGCTCTGAAATTGTTGCATGTTGGAATTATTGCTTTCTTTGTGTCTTGTCTGGAAAGTGGTTTTCCAACGAAAAAAATCCTGATTTGTGTCATTCATACCTTTGGTGATTGATTCAATGTCTGGTATGAAGGTTTCCAGCAGAGGGTTAATCTCAACTACGAGTGATGTTATCTATTTATTTATTTTAGAATTTTGTTCTCATTTTTAAATTTTTGTATTCACATTCTATTTTTCTGTTCCATTGTAACTGAAGAAGGCAGTGAAACAGATCAAAAATGTTATTATTTTATTAAATTCATTGCTGGATTTTAAAGATGTGATTTTTTTTTCCATTAAAATCGATTCATCTTTGATTTGTGATATAGTTTAATAGTTTATTTGTTATTTCATATAAAATGCATTTAAATATATTATTATTATCATCATCAAAATTAGTGAATTAAATTTTAAATTCATAGATTTTTATTCAGCTTATTAACTTTCTTATAATATGAAACTTAGTCATAAATAACTTTTAATAAGTAATGTAAGTAAAAAAACATAAAGAACTTTGTATTTTTGTGACCCTTCAATAATTTAAATATCAATATAAATTAAATCTTTGTTTAAATAAAGAATATATTATATTTTATCTTTTAAATGCTAAATCAGCATAACATAATACAGTTTTCAAATTTTTGTTGACCAGTGCAATATTATCATCCAAGTTTCTTCGAGAACGTATTAATCTTCTTGGTAAAATTGGTTGCCTTCTTTGTACCCTTGGTTCAGTGGTAATTGTCATACATTCTCCTGGTGAAAGTACTGTTGAAACAATGGAAGATTTAAGTATAATGTTAAGTGATCAATGTAAGTGTAAAAATAAATTGTTATATTTATTTTAAAAATAACAATAAAATTTCTTTAATTTTTTAATGAATATATTGAAAGAAAATTACAGATTAGATTTACATATAGAATGATCAAAATTAAAGAATAGGTATTCAGAGCTTTTGTAGAAAGAACTAGTGGACAAATCTCAATTAAATTTATTATATATATTGTCCAATGCATGCAGTTTCAATTTTTAGGAAAAAACTTTACTTCAAATTTTAGGCACTATAGTGAAATTTGGCATTGCTGTTTTCTTAATATGCATATTCTTAATATTATGTACATTTTCTAATGAATGAATTCACTAGTATGCAATGAGAATTTTTCATTCTGTCCCCATTTCTTCAGCAGCAATCTCATAACATAAAAAACAACATTATTAATGAGATAAAAATAACAAGAGACACTACTTATTTATAACAAAAGATAAATCTAAAAACACTTAATTGACAAAAACTTTCGACAATATGTATTCATCATCTTCAGATAATATGGCAGATAGAACATTAGAAATCTAGAGAAAGAACACATTTTCAAATTGCTCTTTGTGCATGAGCATGAAACATTAAAATTACAGATATATAAAAATACAAAATTATACGCTATGTTAGCTGTTGCTTAGGGCCTCGAATTTCAAGGGACCTCAAAAATTTATACAAAAATGAAAATTGAAGTTAAGTTTTGTAATAAAATTTTTTTTTACAAACTAACAAAGTATACTTTACTTTTTATTTTGTGTAGTATTTAATTAATACGTATAAGTTAATTATTTTCTTTTTATGATTTACTTCTAAAATTTGAAGGGTTTGTAAGGGGGCCTCACACAGAGTTCAGCTTAGGCCCTTGAAATGCCTAAGTCTGCTCTGTGTCCCACACAAAATTACTGGCATTTTAAACTTTAAGGAAAAATCCCTTAAAAATCGACAGCATAGCTTGTTCATGTAAAGCCAGATAATCGGAAAACTTTTTTGCCAGTTCTTAACAGTTTAATCCACTTTTTTCATCAGTTACATACTTCTCCAAATTCTGATTTCTGAATAATCTTCTGTTTTTCATGTGGGAATAGATGAAAACATATCGGGCTCCTGCAGGGCTGCAGAGTCAGTAATAAAATCACTTGACTCCAACTCCTGATAATTTTAATAGGCCGACTCTGACTTCAACTCCCGACTTTGGCAAAATTAATTATCAAGTCATTTTATGGGGGCAGAGGCGCTCATAGGGGGTACACTACTCTAAACTCTGAAAGGAGCCTGGGGCATTTATCCAAATACTTTTATAGTTAGTATTTTTAATATTTAACTTACATTAATATTTATTTGTATTAAAAAAAATTAATTTTTAACAAATATTTAATAAGAGGAGAAAGAGGGTGATAAAATTCTACATCTACATATATTTGACAGCATTTGCACTTCAATTTCACCCTTCCACACTGGTTAGTTCAACTAAAAAGTGTGCGATCTAGCTACTTCAAACCTTGTTCAGAAAAGAAAAATATGTACTCTGATCAAGTAGTCTGGCTCATTCAAAAAAATATATTAAAGTACTTATTTAGAGCAGGGATAATAAAGGAATGATTCAAAAATATTCAAATTCAGTTGGGTCAAAATAATTTAACTACTAAACACAAATACTACAAAGAACACTACATAGTTAATAAATTAAATTGATGCATTTTGTATTTAAAATAAATGAATTATAACTTATAACAAAATACAAAAAGATTTTAAAAATTAATAAATATATAAAAAATTTTCTTTCATTTAAATAAAAATCTAAATTTAAAATGCAGAGTCAACACATTTTTTCCAACTCCGACTTCAACTCGTCTGGCCAGAAATTCCTCCCGACTTCGACTCCAACTCCACAACCCTGGGCTTCTGTATGGCTTTGAAATTGCAATTTGGAATGCAACAGAAAGCTTTGCTTTTCCTATTGATATTTGCTGCTGACAATACACAAGAATGATTCAGATAACCCAAATAAAATACTGTATTTTTGTTTTCAAACACCAGGAGGTTAGCATCCAGTGAAAAATGCAAATAATCAGAGGACCTCTTCATAAATTTTTTTAAGCACCAAACTTTCTTGAGTGCCAAACTAGCATTGCCTCTTCATTGATAGAAGTGCCTATCAAGTACACATGATCACATACACTGAACCAATTTACGGTGTGGTACAATAAACGACGAAAAATAACGAAAAACAAACGTTTTCGAACCCCTTCTGGGCTCTTCATCAGGTTCCTACAATTTTAGCTTGTAAATTCGAATAACGAATGTCGTTAAAATAAGTTCGATCTTCAGTTCGAATCGTTCTTTCAAACTTATACGACGCGCATGCGTGCCAAGTCTGCCTACTCGGATATAACGAGCGTTTTTACGGAATACTGCGTTGTATCATAAAGTTAGAAAATGATCTGTATGAAGAAGAGCAAGTTATGCTAGAAGAGGTTAACAGTAGAGTGATCGCTTTGGAACATTCTTTGGAAAAGAGGTTGAAACGCACATATATTAAAAAGCTAAAATGGCTGTTTAGGTGCCAGAATGTTAAACCATGGGTGAAAAAAGAAGCATTTTTAACAGCTTGGGACAGCATCGTTCCTCCCCAATGCCCAATAAATGCCTTGGAATATGGCCCATCCTTTGCACCGACACCACCGTTGCGTCCAGAAAGCCTCATACCGAACGTTGAGACTCTCATAAAGGATATGAATTTAACTGCGCAAGATTATTGCAGATGGAAAACAAGATTATATGCTGAGAAGGAGAGATATTCTAACAAAACTGCTTTACTTTTCCAAAAGCACATTAAAGAAATGAAAGAATGGCTCCAAAAAAAAAAGACATTGTTTTCATAAAGGCTGATAAATCAAAAGGTGTTGTACTCATCAAACGGTGCTCATATAGAGAAAAACTGCATGACTACATCGACAGCACCGAATGTCTTCCTGCCCTGAGTAATTACCTGGAAGCCTTACAACAAAGAGTGAGAAAATTTACCCTAACTCCATTAGCCAATTATGTGGGTATGAGGTCTGCTACTTTATAAGCTCCTAGGACACCAAGAATTTTTGCCTTCGGAAAAACACATAAATCTGGTTCGCAGTTACAGCCTGTGGTAGAAAAATGTAATGCTCCAACTTTCATCAGAATAGAAAAACAACTTGTTAAATTTATACAAGGAAAGATGCAGGTTTTGCCTTTTTTGATAAAAAAACTCGGTGGACTTGATCCGGAAACTGGAAAATGTTGCGCTCATGAATGAAGAATGGATGACAGTGTTAGATTGTAAGGCGTTATACCCATCAATCAAACTGCCTCCATGCTTTTGTGCTCTGAGAGATTTTTTATTCGCTAATGTTAATAACGCTACCAAATACCACACGCAGATTTTGGAATTAGCAGACTTGATATGTCACACATCTTTCTTTGAATTCGAAAATAATACTTATCTACAGGGGCAGGGAGTACCAATGGGTAGCCCCATGTCATCGGTCCTCTGAGAATTGGTACTTCGTAATCTAGAAAACAGTATCATCCCTTCCTTACAACAAGATATATTGATATATGCGAGATATGTTGATGATGTATTTATCTTGTGGAAGGATAATCGCAACATCAAGCATTTTGTAGATTGGATAAACAGAAACCCGTATGGTTAACCTTGGAATTGGAGCAACAAGATAGTAGTAGTGTTAATTTCTTGGATCTGACTATAACATGCATAAAAGGGGAAGTCCGAACCAATATTTATCGTAAACCGACATCTATACCCATTATTATCCCTAAGAATTCGGCAGATCCGGAGCATATTAAAATGGCGGTATTTCGATCTTGGATAAGGAGAGCACACACACACATTGCACAAATGTTTGCGATACTGTTAAGGAGTTACAATATATACAAAGAACTGCCATGCAGCATGGCTACAGGAGAAGAAGAATAGAGGCTCTCATTAAGAAAGATGATAATCTTACAAGGAGGCAAAAGCAAAACCACCAAAAAGAAAAAATGGTCCTCGATTATATACCCTTCCTTAAACCGATTATCAAGAGCATTTCCAAAAGTAAGAACTTGCAGATAGTTTATCGACGTAATCCCACTATATACAGAATGTTAAGGAATGACAAGGGGGGTTATGAACGCAACTCCTTAACAGGAATATACTCGATACTGCTAAGAGACCGCAGGTTCAACTCTAACTTAGTATATATAAACGCAACTTTGAGGAATTTGAAAAAAAAGAATCAATGAGCATAAGCTTTCAGTGAACAAAGCAATTGACAGCACGGTCCTTGCCACTTATGCTAAACAACAAGGCATTACTGTTTTCTGGGACCAGGCCTCTATAATAAAAGCCACCAAATCTAGACACGCGATAAAATATCTCGAAAAGCTGGAAATCCACAGGGCACAGAAGAGCGCGCAGTGTATCTAGCTATAGGGATGCCGACGGGCTTTCGTTCTCTTGGAAATCTTTTTGCGATGATTTGGCATAGATCTATATAAAAGGCTCAATCAGGCTTATGATGATCATTGATGGATATTTTATTTATTTATTTATTTATTTATTAGTATTATTATTATTATTGTTGTTTATTAAGCACACGAAAATTTGTATATAGCACTTTTGTTTGTAACATGTTACGTGTTACAAACGAAAGTGCTATATACAAATTTTCCTTTTAATTTTTTACATAACCGTTATTTGGAATTTCCATTGTGTAATTTTTCGAATTTCACATTTCGAATTAGAAATAACTGATGATGAACGCTTAATGCACAGCACTTCACACTGTTCACCTCAAGGTTTTATGTTCGGCAGCAGACAATGAAATTTAATGGGTAAGCAAAAAGTTCTGAGTCTCACTTCTGCTGAAGTGGGTGAGGGAAGCAAAGTTAGCTATGAGAGACTTCACAGTGGATGATTCAAAGTGTTCTGCCAGGTATATATCAAAATGAATTTGTGTG